TTTGCTCCGTTGAACTTTCCGATGCGGTCGGTGGAGCAAAAAATGGCGGTGCAAACTGATATTGAGGCCAATCAGTATACTCTGAAGTCCTGTGTGGAGACCATTCGTCCTCCCTAGCCGTTGTCAAACCGGCTGCAGAGTAGGACAAATGAGGTGCAGCATTTAAACGCCCAACTGGCTCTGCTCCAACGCATGTATAAGGATGCGCGAGCAGAGATAAGTGTGCTGAAAGCAGAAAATAAGGAGCTGAAGCGGAAGGCCACCGTAATGTTCCGATTTGGAGGTCCGCCATATGCTGCAGTGGAGGAGTATGGGGGAGTGATCATGCCCAGTGGAGTGGGAAACACGGAGGCAACACCGGCAAGGACCGCCCAGGACGGAGGCAAGAAGAAAAGACCGGCGGCAGAGTAGAGAAGAAAAATCCCACCTGTGAATGTGGTTGTTTGTTTGTATTTGTTTTTATTTTTATTTTTTTATTTTTTTTTGTATGTGGAAACATGGTGATCGGGGGGATCCCTGAGATGAATAAAATATGGTTTGGTGTGCAAAGCTATATGGTATGAATGGAATTGGAAAAAGATTAAAAATAATGTGAAAGAAAAATAAAGAAAGAAATAATAAAAATATATTTGAAATCAAAATGAAAGATGGGGAAAATAAGGAAAGTAGTTCGGAGAAGGTAAATAAAAATAATGGAGTTTGAAATCAAACGGAGGAGAGTAGATGATGTTTTGTTTGTTTGTTTTTTTTAAATATATAATGAAAAGAGATATATATATATATATATATATAAAATAAAGAAAGTGGGGAACAAGGAGTGCACCAATTAAGCTTTAGAATAAAAAAAAAAAGTTTGGGCGGTGGATGCAAAGTGAGGAGAGAGAGTGGGTGTAAAGTGTTTGGTGGTGTAAAATGGATGAAAAGAAAAAATAAAGAAATGAAAGAAGAAAAGTAAAATGGGTTTGTGCAAAAGCGTGGAGGAAGTTGCAGATATAGCCCATCTTGTCTGCTGCTGCTCTGCCGAATATGGTAGGTAGCCACAGGTATGGTCCATCTCTTGGATGGATCTCTCTGCAAACAACAATTGATGAAATCACGAAATTCTCTCGACGCCATAGGCGGTGCTTGAGGCGGCTAAGACATACAGATTGCACAGGCCTCGACGGTGTTGAGCAAGCATTCCAATGGGCCATGCTGGCAAGTGAGGGTGTCGTTGGGTCCAATCCTAGCATTACCGTAAGGGATGAGCTCGGAAAATGGAAGACATGAACACGACTGGACATTCTGCAGAATCTGAACATTAGTTCTACCATGAAAGGGCCGATAGCCATGAAGAAGTTCAAAAAGAATCACACCAGCACTCCACGTCAACCTTGGCATCATATTGCTGAAATTGCAGAATTTCTGGGGCCATATACAGTGGAGACCCGCAAACTGTCTCTGCGTGATCATTAGGATGTAAAATTCTTGAGAGACCAAAATCAGCAATCTTTAGCACTGCATCACTATGAGGGCTTGAAAGCAAAATGTTCTCTGGTTTCAAAGTGAAGGTATGTGTTGTGTAGAAAATAAGCGGAATAGGTTGAGGTCCGGTGGGCGGTCAAGGCAAGGTTGCCGCCCGCCGGAAGGCGAAGAACACCAAGATCTTTAATCTATAGCTCTGATACCATGTAAGAGATTGCCTTGGAAGTTGAATATTTTTCGTAGTGCAAAACATGTAGTAGAAGTTGGAGGGAATTTAAGGGGTTTTTTTTAATTTTTATTTTTTTTTGTAATATGCTTTTTACTTTGAACTTGAATTATATAACCTACTGAAAGAATTTATGTATTATTGATTGATTTATGTTGTTGTGTTATTGATATTACAAGGATTCCTATTATATAGAAGAAAATTTGGGTAGTAGGTGAGGAGTAGGTGAGGGTAAATTGGTGGTAGGTGTAGTAGGTGTGGTAGTAGGTGGTGGTAGGTGTAGGTAAATTTTAACATTTCTATACATCAATTTTAACATTTTGTGTAAAACACTTTCATGATAAATTAGTGGAGGTGGTAGGTGGGTGGTAGTTTACATTTTACAATTTACATTTTACATTTACATTAAATTTACGTAAAAAAATCTCAAAATGGATAATACGTTATTTTATTATTTTGTAAAGTGGGGATAAATTAATAATTTCATGGGATTGGTTTGCGAATCCTTAGAGCATCTCTAACCATCTTTCTTTCTTTTTTGCTATTTTTTTTTTTTTCAAATTTTAACTAAAAAGTGTATTTCCTATTTAAAAAAAAATTACTTTTTCAATTATCATCTTTAATAATACTCTCTACTTTTCCTCTACATATTTAAATATTTTTTTAAAATATATTTTTTTAATCTTTTTTTTTTATTAAAAATATTTTTCCAAACTTTTTTCTCCCTTCTCTACCATCTGAGAAAAGGACAAGGGACAAGAGGAAAAAATGTTTTTTAAATTGTAGGTAAAGAAGGAGTTGAGTATGGTGATTATTGAAGAGAATTATTTTGTGTTTCACTCTCTAAAGTTGGGCAAAAGTGAGGATAAGAGACTATTGAGATGCTCTAACCCTTCAGTGGGATTGGTAGTCCTGCTATTGGGTGGGATTAGTAGTTCAGCCTAACAATGTTGTTGCCAATTAGGGTGAGCATGGTCCGGATTGGACCGGATTAAGATAAAACCAGGACCAATCTGTTATCTACGGTTCCTAAAAAATTGGAACCAATCCAATCCGTTTAAATCATGGAACCAATCCGAACCAATCCATTTAAATACGGATTAGATCGGTTTAGGACCACGGATTCACATAATTAAATAACAAAAATATATATATAACACTTTAATTTTATAAAAATTTAAACATAGCGCTATATTAGTTCCACAATAACAACATATTTTTCTATAATAGCGACATACTGTTCTAAAATTTAAATAACCATAAGAAAACTGGTTTCACTATAAGTATTTAAACCATTACAAATTAAAACTAAAAAACAACAAACAAAAGTAATAAAAGAAGATATTATACGGTTTTAGGTTTGAGTTTAGATTTTATATAGAATTAAGAGAAGATATTATGGGGGAGGATGTATAATAAAAATATAGACTATTTATATACGGTCCGGATCGGTTCCAATCCGGAACCGTGGGGTTCAATCCGGAACCAATCCGTAGACTACGGATTTTTAATTATTCAATCTGGAACTGAACCGCGGATTCAAAAAACCAATCCAAACCTATCGGATTGGACTGGACTGGATCGAATTACGAATTTCACGGATTATTTGCTCAGCCCTATGTAAGGCTTATCTCACTAATAATTCAATCTCCTACTCAGTCAGTCGGCCAAACAAACTGGGCATATTGTAACTTCACCAAAAATGAGGAGTCGTCTTCTACAATTGAAAAATAAGGAACAAGTGATATTTGATGTAAGTTATGCAAAGCGTAATTACATTCTTTTTAAGTGTTTATTTATAACTTATAATTTTCAAAAAAAAAAAAAAAAAGTGAAATTGTTAATTTTGTTATGTTATTTGCGTGAGTTGGAACTTGAGGTTTTCCTGAATTCTAGAAGATTTTGTGTGCAAGTAATTAATGGTTTTACTTTCTTTCTTTGTTTTTTGGCTTTCAACGTTTCCTGTACTGAATTTTGAATTTTGGTATTGGCTTATTTGATATTACAGAGGCTTAGTTGCTAAATTGCGTCAAATTTTCATCAATTACAGATATTCCGGTGTTGGAATTACACGAGTTCTCTTTCTCCGGAAGAAAAGATACCAGAAACTTAAGCGTGGCCATTTTGGCAAGTCCTCTCTATTTATCAGTATATGATTCATTTCAAAGGGGCAAATAGTTTTGCTCTACCTTGTTTTCATTGTCACTCACTTATACTTTCAATTCTATTTGTCAATTATCTTGATAACAATAATTTTCTCACTAAATTTATTCGCATATGAATTGTGAAATCAAAATCAATTACATTGGCACAAGGCTTTTTATTCACTTTTTTTATTTTATATATATATATATATATATATTTTTTATTTTAATTTTCTATTATTGATTATAATTGTTATCAAAAGACAAATAATTCTCCAATTTTGCGTTTGGGTCTCATATTTGAGGGAAAAAAGAAAAAATAATAATAATAATAAAAGAAAATGAAGTAAAAGAAGCTACTTTTTATTTTTATTTTTGTAAATTTGGTTGGGTGAGGAAAATAGAAATAAGATTAATAGATATTAGTCAAAAATCCATTTTTCATTTAGTCAGAGTATATATATTTATGTAATTTCATTTCTCTTATATTTTTCATTGCCTAACGCTGTGTTTAGTTGGGGGATTTGGGAAGGGATTTAGAAACAGAAAGGGAAAAGGTAGGTGAAATGTAAATAAAATATACTACATTTTACTTAGTTTCACACACCTTTTTCCTTTCTCTTTTCAAATCTCTTCTTAAATCCCTCGACCAAACATAGCGTTAGACAAATTGAAGATCCAAGCATTTAAAATTGTGAATTGATTGTATTCACATATGTGTTTTAAATTACTCAAAATTATGTGAGAACAAAAACTAGGAAGGCTTTCTTTTACCAAGCTTCCGGCTCTTTTAATAGACATCTCAAGAACTAATAGCTAGTATTGATGTTCTCTCTCTCTCTTTTTTATTTTTTTTCTTTCCCCTTTTTAGTTCCAGCTAGTAATTATTTGTGCATGGTATAAAATTAGCCATGCAGTAGGTATGAAGGGAACTATGAAGCATATGTGAGTACTTCAAAAATATTATCATTCGAGTATTGAGTACGTATCTAGTATGAGTACACGTGTTGGGTATGTGAAACACGTGTCCAGTATGCGAGATATTTTAGGCTTGGCATGGGTATGACACAAAGATGACTTGGGTACTTTTGTTGGTACTATAAATGTAATTTTAATTTTTTTAAAAAAAAGGATAGTAAAATAATTATATAGTGTATTTTCGATACAATTATCAAAATATAAAAAATACTTTGAATTCTTTTGGTCAAATTACATATACCTCCCTCGAGGTTTAGTTAAATTACAGATATCTCCCTGAGGTTTGAGAAATTACAGATACCCCCTGAGGTTTATATTTTCATAACAAATTGCCTCCTGAGGTTTATATTTTTATTACAAATTACTCCCTAATTTGTTATGAAAATATAACCTTCAGGGGGTATCTGTAATTTCTCAAACCTCAAGGGTATCTATAATTTAACTAAATCTCGAGGGGGTATATGTAATTTGCCCAATTCTTTTTTGACCATTAGAAAAATACTTTAATTATTTTTTACATTTGATTTTTAATTATTATATGTTATGTACTAGCACAAATTATAAATATATATATATATATATATATATTATAGACCTAATTGAACGTATCCTTATCTTATTATTATTTTTTTAATTTTAATCATTTCGACATATCCATAATATATCCCGCACTCGGTGTTTCCTGGGAAGGGGACTAATGCATATGTCTGCTCGAGACAGTGGCTTTAGTATAAAAGGGACCTTTATAAAGCTTACATTTGTCTAATTTAGTGGCCATTTTAACAAATATGAAATTATAGTAGGTTCTCAAACATTACCCATGTCAGATATTGTAACTTTCCCTTCATCAAATATTCGTTGGAATTTTCATAACAGAAAGTAGCCGTTGATGTTTGCCATGTCATTCACAAACTTGATTTGTGGGTTCAACTGTTTCCAAAGACCCAGCGTGTTAGATCTTTACCTCGGCGTATAGTCCCAACAGATATAGGAGAGATGGGGCAATGCCATTCATCAAAACCACTAAAGAGAAATTTAGAGGATCAATAATACTAGGTATCATGAAAGAAGTATTATGAAAACTATTCATGAAGATTCTCCACTCTTGGATTAGTTTATAGTGTTTGTAGTGTTTTATTGTATGTTATACAATCACCCTTGAATTAGTTTCATAAATTTTTCATGATATTCTTTTCATGATATGTAGCAATATTTAGAGGATTACGCACAAGATTTTGGCGGTGCAGTTGACGTTATTCTGACGTTCCTTGATGGTAAGCTTCTACACTTTCATAAAGTCTTGCTACCAATTTAATGGAAGCAACATAAAAAGTAAGGGCTATTTGCATTTTGCACTCCTTTTTTCATAATTACATTTCATATTTTCATTTTAGCATTTAAAGTGATGCATAATATAATTTTCAATGCATACTAAAATGCTTAAATTTTGACTGCAATTATCAAAAAAATAACGTGAATAACAATCCTCTATGAAATTTTTTTTAATTTTTTTTAATATTATATATATATATATACATTTTTTGTTCATGCAATTAACATATCAGTGAAGCACATTTGTAGAAAGCATGGGATCTATCGTTGGCTATTTTGATAAGTAACTCACTTATATTTTCATTTTTAGTTATTATCTCCTTTTCTTTTATTATTAATTATTTTTTGAAGTTGCAAGTATTATAAAAAGACCACTAATTTTCTCACTAAATCTGTACTACTATAAAAGAGTGAGCGTTAAAAGTGTTTTCTACATTTTGACGTTGTTTTTATTAGACATTATATATATGTACATGTATGCAAAGTGAAAGTTGTAGGTAGGGGACAAAAAAGAAAAGAAAGAAAAGAAGAGCAAGAACAAATTGGGGGTTAGTATTGGGGGTTAGGGATTGCATCGATAATATGGGGGAGGAAGAAGAAGAACAAATTTTGGAGAGACTGAGGAGCCAACCCATCTACTCGCCACCACCGTCTCCCACCTCCGTCTTCCTCATCTCTCCACAACTCTACTTCTCACAACCACCGCCGCTCACCCCCCAACCCCACTTCTCACCACCACCAACTACCTCCGTCCTCATGTCTCCATATCTCGATTTCTCAGGACTTTCACTATTTCCCAGCCTCCGATCCCTATTCAGAATAGGACTGCCTCCATCTAGATGCCAAATTACATGTGAGACCTCTCTCTCTCTCTCTCTCTCTCTGTGTGTGTGTGTTCACGTTGCTTTCCCCCTTACATTTTGGTCAAATTTTTGGAATTTTTTTTTTCACCGGTAAAAATATAGAAAAGATTACTTTTTCTTTTTATACCTCATGTGAGGGTAACATGATCATAGGGTCCGTTTGTTTGATGGATTATCTTGGATGTGATTTTGCGTAGTTGTTATTTAGGTAGATATATAAGATAAATTTTAAATTGTATTTGTTTATAAATTAGAGTAATATTTTCAGTTGATTGGAATTAAATTTATAAATTGTAAGATAAATTGATAGAGTAAGAGAGAATAAATTGTGTATATATTGATTTATTATTGATTGATTTATCTGTATATTACAATTCCTATATATATAGAGGAGAAGATGGTAGTAGGTGTAGGTGGTAGTGGAGGTGGTAGGTGGAGTGAGTGGGAGTTTATATTTTACAATTTACATTTTACATTAACAGCCCCCCTCAAACTCAAGGAGGATAGGTACTAGCCAACTTGAGTTTGGAGAGAGTAACAAAACAGAAAAATAGGCTGACAATTAAAAATGGGATAGGAGACACTGTATGGTCATGTCGGACCGTTGTAGAAGACAGTTTACGGGGTCATGTCGGACCGATGTAGAAGCTGACCGGAATCAATGTCGGGACAGTTTACGGGTCATGTCGGACCGGTGTAGAAGCTGACCGGAATCAATGTCGGGACAGTTTATGGGGTCATGTCGGACCGTTGTAGCAGACAGTTTATGGGGTCGTGTTGGACCGGTGTAGAAGACAGTTTACGGGGTCATGTCGGACCGTTGTAGAAGATTGTGGTGGTGTACCAAGGGGGCGACTTAGGGAGTGCGCCATGAGCGACTTATACATGATACTGTGTATAACCCCCCCTCAAACTCAAATAGGTGTGAAGATAGAAACCTATTTGAGGTTGAAACAAAGGGATTGATAAAGCTGACCGGTGTAGAAGACACTGTATGAGTGTGTATATAGGCTGCCCAAAAAATATACATGTAGATATATATCGAGCCCTCAAAAGCCGTGCCCTCAAAAGGCGTGCCCACTTTATCAAAAGATGTGCCATGAAAAGGCGTGCCAGTTTGTCGGGCGTCAAGAGTTTGTCAAAAGGCGTGCCATCAAAAGGCGTGCCCGATGCATCAAAAGGCGTGCCAAATATGAAGGCGAGGCACGTGAGTGCCTTGGCTGGCGTGCCCGTTTGTCTGGCGTCAAGAGGCGCGCGATGCGTGTGGCTGCCTCGGCGTCAAGGTCTTTATAAAGCGAAGCGGAGGCTGAGGCTGAGGCAGAAAACCCGCTAAAAAAAAAACTCTGAAAAACTCTTCGTTGTGCTGAGAGAGAGTGTCTGTAACATTCTGTTGCGAGAGATATTCTGTAACACTTGGTTGCCCAGAAAATGGCCTCGTCTTCCCGTGGTCTGCTGACGCTCTTTCCCGACCTCAACGAGTCAACAAGAGAGAGAACTGGTGCGGTGGCACTGGAACCTCAACCAAGCGCCACTGGGTTTGCTCCGTTGAACTTTCCGATGCAGTCGGTGGAGCAAAAAATAGCAGTGCAAACGGATGTGGAGGCTAATCAGTATACTTTGAAGGCATGTGTGGAGTCCATGACGGCGGTTACAAACTTGTCGCACCGGCTGCAGAGTAGGACAAATGAGGTGCAGCAATTAAACTCCCAGCTGGCTCTGCTCCAACGCATGTATAAGGATGCGCGAGCAGAGATAAGCGTGCTAAAGGCAGAAAACAAGGAGCTGAAGCGGAAGGCCACCGTGATGTTCCGATTTGGAGGGCCGCCATATGCTGCAGTGGAGGAGCAGGGAGTAGTGATCATGCCCAGTGGAGTGGGAAACACGGAGGCAACACCGGCAAGGGTCGCCCAGGACGGAGGCAAGAAGAAAAGACCGGCGGCAGAGTAGAGAAAAATCCCGCCTGTGGATGGGGGTGTGTTGTTTTTGGTTGTGGGTTGGTTTTTTTTGTTTTGTTTTGTTTTTTTTTTTTTGTGTGTGTGGTGTAAAAGTGTGATCGGGGTGGATCCCTGAGATGAATAAAATATGATGTATTGTGCAAATTGGGAAATTGTTTTGGGTTTTTGTTTTGTTGTTGTTGTTGGTGTTTTTTTTTTTTTTTTTTTTTTTTGTTTTTTGGTGTTGAAAAAAAATAAAATAAAATAAAAAAAATAAATAAAAAAAATAAATAAATAAATAAAGAAAGCAGAGATGTGAGGGAGTCGGTGAGTGGGATGCAGAAGGGAAGATAGGTTTTAAAAAATAAAAAGAAGACATGGTGGGATGTGAAAGATGTTAATATAAAGTGGACACTGTCATGGTGTTGGCTTCAGAAGAAAAAGAAAAAGAGGTATAAGTTTATGTAAAAGTGGACATAGTGGGAGAAAATATAATAAACATATACATAGATATATATTAAAATAAAATTATGTTGAGTGAAGCATCAGTGCCGATTATGATAATGGGGCCATGGAGAGAGAAAGATTTTGGTCTCGGCTAAAGAGAGAGAGAGTGCCGTGTGAGGGTGTGTGTCTTCTCCCCCTCTAACCCGTGTGTCTATGTGTGTTTGTGCTGGGTGTGTTGTGTGCATGGGTCTAGAGAGAGAGAGAGAGATGGCCATGATTGGCCAGGTTGCCGGAGGAGGACTTACTGAACTGAGTTGGTGATGCTGGGTGTGTGAGTTGTTGCTGTCCATGGCTGGACTGCCGTGAGTGAGATGTATGTGTTTTTTTTTTTTTCTCTCCCGTGTGTGTATCTCAAGCTGTGTGTGTCTGGGCCTAAAGAGAGAGAGAGTGCCGTGGGTGTGTGTCTTCTCCCCCCTAACCCGTGTGTCTATGTGTGTTTGTGCTGGGTGTGTTGTGTGCATGGGTCTAGAGAGAGAGAGAGAGATGGCCATGATTGGCCAGGTTGCCGGAGGAGGACTTACTGAACTGAGTTGGTGATGCTGGGTGTGTGAGTTGTTGCTGTCCATGTGTGTAGAGGTCCGGCGGGCGGCCAAGGCGAGGTTGCCGCCCGCCGGGGAAGCAGAATGATTAGGTTGTTAACTTAGCTCTGATACCATGTAAGATAAACTGATGTATATTATTGATTGATGTATATTGCAAGATTGTTGTGTTTCTGTATTGTATGTGATTTTTTTGTTATGTTTACAATGATCAAATATATAGAAGAGAAGAAGGTAGTAGGTGAAGTGGTAGGGGATGAAGTGGAGGTGGTAGTGGTAGGTTAGGTGAGGAGGTGAGTGTGTGTGGTAGGTAGAAGTGGGTTAGGTTTAGTGGGTTTAACAAATACTCACATCCTTTTTGGAAATGCCAGTTGCACCTGCATCCCACTCCACATCAACAGTGACCACAACCACAATTCAAACTTTACCCAAACCCAAAATGGATGATTAAGTCCATGTAACATAAGAGACAACTTTTCATGGTTTCTTTCTTATAGATGTGCTATTAATACACTACAGTTCAAGCCCAAACCATTGCCAGTTTAAATGTTCAAACATCCAATATAATATTCATGTTCGTTCAAGACACTAACCAGAAGGTCCCAGGGGGAGCAGATAGCAACAGCCCCAGCGATGGGAACATTCTCCCCATCCTCCCCAAGGTATTTTACCTGGAAGAAATAATTAAACAAAGCACATATCAAGTTGTTGACATTTACATTCAAATATAATTAAGAATTGGTACACTAATTACAATATAGAAAACAATAGTATCTAGATAACAGAATCTATAATGACATACTGCAAAATATGTTCAAAAGCATTGTAAGAAACATATTATTATACACAAAAGCTGCAAAGCAATTGTTATTCATCAAAACGAAGCATGGCTAGTAAAATTGCTTTACACCATCAATAGTAAGTTTCCCCTTCCATACTGTGTGAGTGATTTTCGATCACACTGCCCAACTCAGTATTCAGCTGGAGAGCACTGGCAGAATAGATGACACATGGCTAACCTGCAACAGAAAGAGAAGGTTCCGGCGGTGGTTCGTCCACCTGGGGGCACTCCAACGATCAAGTCAGTATATCTCTCAAAGTTAATCAATAGTGCTAAATTCACTATTCAGAGCATAAACTGCGTACCTTAAAATATTTTATTGTAGCTAAGTTCTCAAACATTAGCTATATCATCCACATTGATGAAATTTCAATTTTTAACAGACTTTTTAACTTTGATTTGAGGTCAGAAACATTATGCGAACTTATATTCAGCTGCACTTTGAACTAAGCATTAGTTTTCCAGTAGTATGACAAAATGAATGTGATTGATAACGACAGTAGCATCTAAGGTTTGGGTTATAAACAAGACTCATCAATGATTAGTAACTCAAATTTACTAATCTTCTCATTGAACTTCAAATTGGTTACACGAAGGATTCTTCTCTAGTAGAGGAAAGATCAGTTGAAATTACGGTGGAAGTTGATGCTACAAACAATGGAGCACATGGTGTCAAGGCATATGGAAACTTCCCTATTGTATCTCATTCAGAGAACAAAAATACGAGAGACAAATTAAAGAGAAATTACAAAAGCATTAGTGTAATTACTCAGAAGGATCTTGAACAAAATTTTGGCCGTAGTCGTGAAGATGTTGCAAACAGTTTTGGAGGTAAGATTCTACACTTAATAAAGTGAAGCTGCAAATCTTGTTGTTTATATTTTATTTTTGGTTTTGTTTTTGAACCTTTTAAATTCTTCTTCCAAGTAGAAGCTGTATTGTTTTCTTTGTTGAAGTAATATAAGAATGTGATTCCCTCATCTAGATTCTTGCTCGTGCAGTTAGCATATCTACATTGAAGCGCGTATGTAGGAAGCATAGGATCTCCCGGTGGCCATTTCAACCAGTAACTCACTTATATTTTTATTTCTATTTGTCAATGCATTTTATTAGTCGTAATTATTATGGAAAATAATAATTTTCTTACTGAATTTACTATGAATTGTGGA